GGAAGTAGTACCATTACACTGTCCGTAGGATACGGAAGTCTGCAAAGTACCAAATTGAACTTTGGCGGGAATACAGTGTCGCAACACTCAGAATTGTCTATTCCCCCACCAGCCTGTCTTACGGGCGGACTACTACTACTACTACTACCACTACTACTAGTACTACTACTACTACTACTACTACTACCACTACTACTACTACTACTACTACTACTACTACTACTACTACTACTACTACTACCGCTACTACTACTAATACTACTACTACTACTACTACTACCGCTGTTACTACTAATACTACTACCACTGGCGGGAATACAGTGTCGCAACACTGAAGAAAACTTCTTCCCCCGTCTACCACCACTGATACGGCGAATACTACTAATAATCCTACTATTAGTACTACTACTACTACCACCGCCACCACGGCTGCCAATGCTACTCTACCAACGCTTACAGTATGGGTAACTAACTGAAATAATACTAGCATCAGTAACGGAGTGCTGCGACACTGTTATCCAACCTGAACTTTGACAACACCACTGAACGCTAAGCCGGGGGTACGCGCTTGACACCACCTCGCGGACTGCACACAAAAAGTGGACTTTCCTAGTCTATGCACTGCGCCTACTCTTGACCGATAGCTTCAGTAAGGCAGTCGTCCAATCATCGCTCCCGCCTTCAGACGCCTTTCTTCTTCGCTCATTTTTGGGTACATCACTTCACCACCTGCCACTGCAGCAAGCACAAGTAGTCGATTCCAAACTGACTGCATAGTCGAATCTGCCCTGTCGTGGCACTGACGTAGTTCGCAGGCCAAAGCACAGCTACGAAATACATCTCCAAGGCTGCTGATAACCACCAGTGTGTTCATGGAGGCCGCCGATATCTAACAGCGTTTTTATACAGCCCACGTTGGTGCCTCGGGCACCAGGCACTCATAGCGTGCCTTCCTCTCTGAAATCACCGCTTTGACCGTTGAATATGAGGTCAGTGAGAGCCCTTGCCTGTCTCGTCTCGTTATGGAAACAATTGTTTACCGAAATTAACCCATTTGGCTGCCTTTCTCCTTTTAGGGGCCATCGGATTCGACTCTCCTGTCTCTCCACTGTCCCCTTAGATGCCCTCAAGGTGTGTGGCACATTGTCTGTTTGGCTAGGCACTTGACCTCGGAAGCAGCGAAACGGCCGTCATCATCAGCATCATCCGTCTATGCCGAGGAGTCGTCGAAGCCGCAACTACTTCCCCTGAACGGTATCTGCCCTGCCTGCGAAAAAGCGGAATTCCTTTGGCCGGAGCTACTAGCCAGTCAGCAGCCGGGAACTTTCAAGTGATGCGCAGGAGACGACTAAATGTACAGACCGAAGAGTTGCGATTAATTGTGCCTTTTTTTCTAAAACTACATTTATTATCCGTCGTCTCTGTTTCCATTTGCCTGGAACACTTTACTGCTGAAAAGGAAGATGACTGGTTTGGCAGACAATCTGCAGGGTTTACGGGTGCACCTGAACACCCAAAAAGAGGACCGCATGCCTTGAAAATTTATTTAGAAAGAAGAGGAAGAATCTCATCAAACATGGCATCGCCGTTGCTCCGGGTGACCTATTGAAAATGAGAAAAAAACGGAGATCAGTTTCCGAGAATAAGATAGATGTGCCTACCATATCTTAGTTGCGTGGCAGTAGGTAGCCCAACGTGGTATAAGAAACAGACAGGGGGATGGGTGCACCAGACTGAGTCAGTCGAATAAAAATGTATCTTCCAGGACATGGAAATGGCTGGGGTGTGGTGCTAGGTGGTGACGGTGAACTTCAGAGGTGGGGAGCGTCCTTACCTCGCGTAAGACTGCATTCGGTCGTCTTACGAGTGAGTCCACGAGGGGGATTCCACGTAAGCCGTCCGACCGAGTGGCAGCTGGGATAGTGGCAATGAGATGTGCCCGGCTTTCTGGTGTTGAGATGGCAGCAATAAGCTGTTCAACCTTGGCCCTGAAAGCGCCCGAAAGTAGCTCCATTTTTCCGATTTCGTCTATGAGGACGTACGTCGGGTCCTCGACGGCGTCACCTCTCCGTTGGGTGCTGGCGAGTGCCATCTACAAGGCGGACAATTGGTTCACCTTTAAATCTGGCTTCAGACGAACAGCACATCAAAGGTATACGCTGTCAAAGGCAGGAACACTGTTCGCCGTTACAATCCAGTGACACCCCCGCTCTACGTGACAGCCTCATCTGTTTCATCGGAAACTAATGCCCTTAACTGATGCTCAGAAACTCCCAGTAAGATTTATGGAGACCTTCTAGTGACAACAGTGTCCAGTCAAGTGAATTCACACGACCCACGTATGGTCACTCAAAAAGCAGACAAGACAATACTGCCGGTGGGATAGCGATGAAGAATTCGCAGAGATATGCATGACTGCTGGACAAAGTGACAAAATTCTAGCTGAGAAAGGCTGGTGTCGAGCGTATCGCCTGTGCACTCGGAAGATCGCAGCCGCCTTGAGGTAGTCGATGGACCAGTTTTCCTAGATTCGAGAGACGAGGATAAAGCCCATCAAGCACACTTTTCCCAGTCGTTAATTGACGTGACTCGGTCACGTATTGAACCGATCCGACGGCGGGAGTGGCAAAAGCATTGTTAGTGCAGACCACAAGCGCGGTCAAAGGTACTGGCTGGCTCAGTTTTGCCCGCCACTATGAAAAGCAATCGTGATGTCATGTCCAGGCAGTTATGAGGCTGGCTGAGCCATTAATACCGTGACAGTAACTACTTACTTCCAAACAGGGAATCGCAATCTTCTCGAATTCATTGACAGTGACGGAGTATCTTCCGACGCGAGGCAGGTGCCTAAGATACTCCGGTGACCGGGAAAAGGAGGTCTGCAGGCGAGCCAGCGAGCTGCGTTCGTTGCCGGAGAGTTCAACTACATCAAACCCGAGACGTCCTGCGCGGGGATCCCTTACTTCCTCTGTGATAAACCCGAGAACGGTTGTTCTTTCCTTCAGAACTTTAGCCAGACGCGAAACGAGGGTTGTTTTCCCAGTTCCTGCAAACGTAGAGGGATGAATTTCCTTTTGATCGAGTACATAAAAGTTGGAACACATCTGGACCACACCTCCGATCAACGCTGTGGCAAACACACAAATTTCCTTCGGTCAGGGCTACATAATTTTTGACCATCATTCCTGTATATACACACGAAATTGTCAGCTTCAACTCATGATACAGCAGCTATAACATTGATAACAGATAATAAATAAGTAATAGAGGTTAATAGAGAGAGAGAGCAGACCGGACTATCTTTGCCCTGGTACTGCAGAGCGCAACTATGTAGAGACTGACACGTTGAAATACAGAGGTCGCCTGCTCTTCCAGTTCATGAACCACACAGCGCCAAAGTGTTAAGCACCTTTGCGGACGGTCAACCATGACAACCACAGATTCGGGACATATCCGTTAAACTCCCCAAAGACGACATTGACTGGCTCCCGCATGAGATGCACACTTGGTCACTGCGTTCACATCGTCCTCGTTCATAGGCCGCGTGCCTCTGGTTCAGACCGTCGAATCCCTATAAAAAATAAACGCATTCTACCGGCCTTTTTTGCTTCTTAACGGGATCCGCGCTCAGACTTGTTGTGGTCTGGGTGTGTCAGTTGCTCTAGCTGTCAGCTTATCACCCAAGTCTCAGAAACTGGCTTCTGAGGTGTTTCCTCAAGCCGGACCGTTCTCTTCTACCAGATGGGTGTTAAAATAGATCATGTCTCATATACTCCAGACCGTAACGACGTTAGTGGCAATGGTGCACTGACGAACGACTGGTCAAAAGTTTTATGTTTGAGATCGCGACAAAGGGAGCCGAAAAATAAACCTCTACACAAACGATCTGTTCCCGAGTATTTACGGGGCCATAACAGATGAGTCCCGTGTGCCTATGGACGCCTACAGTCGGAGTTTTTGTCAAAAGGTGAAATGGACCGTCGAATAGGAAGAACGCATGGTCCTCGATAAAAAACTTCGGAATCTGCGTGAAACGGAACTAGGACGAGGGTATAAGAGGCACTCTCAGGGGGATCCTTCATCGTAATTGTGGGATATGACTCGTTAGCCTAGATAATTCAAAACCGCTGCATTCTCTCCTTAATATTGTAAACAGTCCATTTTGGAGGCTGAATATCGACGACCGAGCAGTTGTGAGGAAGCGCGTCCCACCATCGCGGACGTGGTCTGTATCCTATGATATAATTACACAGCGAGATCTCCAGGATGGATAATCGCTTTTAGCAAATTTTGTGTTGATTTAGTTGGCAGTTAGTGGAAGTTCACGCTTAACCATGAAAAGGACGACAATGACATAGTTTCCAATACTTTCGCGCTTGCTCAAAAACAAGTGTGGCGTAAGAAGCGCCCACAGTAATCAGCTCCACCCAATTTACGGCAATGCGTTTCTGATGTTCTGATCACTTTAATACGCTGGTTGTCAGAAAAGGTCTCCCTACAGATATTTTATGATATGGTGGCGCTCACTGATCAAGTTCGCCTTTCAGCATGCCGAAATTCTGGGCCGAGGGAGCGACCACATATCCAGGGAAACAACTGAGGCTTGGCACACGAGGACAACCTCCATCAACCGTTGTGTGGCCCTTCCCACTGCCTAGCAAGCCCTTCGGACGCAACTCAGTGAACAAATGAGCAGACCTGAACCCAGGCTAAACATGAATCCAAACATGAGCGAGTCCATGGCGGATGCACACTCAGCCGCCCCTCAACCTGGGTCCGACGGAGGCGCAGCCGTCACCACAATCGTTCCATCCAATAGCCAGGCAGACAAGAAAAAGGACAGCCGTGGCGGCGTAAACAAGATTGCCAGCCTTGGACGACAGTTAAGGTCAATGAAGGTACGAACGACGGTCGCCAAAGTCTCAGCGCCGGCCCCCGATGTAGATTGACTACATTCCGTCACATTGCCTCCATCTTTCCCGTCCGCCACAGCCCCTGCGTGCATGCATGCTGATACACCACCCCCTCATCCGGCGACGGCGACAAGACGCTCTTGGACTCCCTCCCCGCCCCTTCCTTCGTGTCGCCCCGACTTCCCATGTAAAAAACCTATCTTAACACGACTGTCACCCAACTATAAGTACTGTGAGACGCGATAACACACTCACCTCCCACGATGGAAGCTTGTTTGCTTTTGAAACATCAGTACAGTAAAACTATGGCTCCCGAAATCACCTTCGCTTCTCATTTATGTCCGGGGACACGCATCTTCGCTTCTATTGGCAATACATATACACATAAATTTTCCAGAATACTTGATTGAAGGCTACTGTACAAACCTTTTGTACGATAAACAGCAGAAAATGTTAATTCGGACTGATTGGAGACTTGGACGTAATACTACCATACTCTAATTTATCACTACTCGATTAAAGACTTTTACATTAAGAAGCGCGTATCTCACATGCACCAGATACCTGGACTGCCCGTGATCAGAAGAATCATCAGTGGAGCAAGAGATGCCAGGAGAGGTACGAATTACCACCAACGAGATACTTTCGATTGACTGACGACCAATGCGGCGTTATCAACCACCTGTAATGACCTACAAGGGTTAGTGTAAGTAAGCGTCACGAAGTCCAATATGCACGTCACGTATCAAATGACAAGAGGATAGTACTTTTGAACCGCAATATGGTATAGTAACAAAACCGAAAAATAGTCATAACTGACAAGATTATAATCGAAAGGGTACAATTGGGAGGTTAATGAGGACGGTGGAGGGAGCGCAGCCGGCTGCGAAAGGGGACAGAGTTGGCCTGCAGAAAAGTTCGTGGCCCTAGACTCCGATCCTGAAAAGAGGCAATAGGGTCGTTGGTGGGTTTCTCTTACCGGAGGAAGTCGTGTCGTGACAAATCCATCACGGTACTACTCGCTATGCATTAACCTTATTTGCCCTTTCAGGGCTTGCCTCCAGGCTCGCGACCACTTCAGGCAACCAACAGAACCCTGACGAAAACCCTCTTATCTAGTTATTTTTTACATTTTGCAATCGACTGCATTTCCCTGGTTTTGTTAATTTTCTAATTATTTTACACCGTCCCTCCCTCCCGTTGTACTCTATTGTTTATAAAAAATTTTATTATCTCGCTACCACCATAGTAATTTATTATTCAAAGTGCTTGTATATGCTACTTTAGGGTTAGGTGATTTAGCACTAACAGCACAGGTAGTAGCCAAAAGCCCACACACGCGTGTTCTGTCGCTGCACGCGAGGGGTTCGGCTCGTCAGTGGGTCCCCCAGCATTCCCTATCTGCTCTCTGGTTGATACTCCAATGTAGAAATTGCAGCTTTTTAATTTCCATAGAAATTAAATGCGAACTTGGGACAGATCAGTATCTTCAAAGTCTAAAGGCTCAGACCAAGGTTTTTATGTATGAATATTTGTATGGGCCGAGCCTGTTCGTGACCTTTGTGATACATATCATCTCTGTTCCTTCAGTTCGTCTTCCCACTCCCTTCCTTTGTGTACCTTTGGATTGTCCTCTACCTGCCTCTACTACACGTGCATACTGTCTGACCGGTTCAGAAGATGAAGATGCGATCACTGGGACAAGAAGTTGCCTGACGTTTCGGATTCTCACTCGAACCCATCATCAGAGACATTTGCAGATAGAGGTGAAGGTGGCACCAGGAGTGCAGTATTTACAGCACGTGGCTGCCGTGGGACCGTATGCGCACTGCAATTAACAGTTCTCACAATCGCCGCTGGGGTCGTAATTGATGCGGCGGTGGCTTGGCGGTCCGAGTCCGAGTTGTTAATTGCCGCGATTTCGTCATCCGTGCTCGATGCTGGTGTGACGATTGCTCGGCAAACTGGCTCACTGTCACCGTGATAATTGCTCACCCGCGCCCTCCCCACGTGACTGATTCTCCTGCCCAGGGAAAATCGAAATACGGAATAGGCCACCGGGAGGTCATTGTGTTTGTTGATGGATTGCGGGCCTGAGAACCATGACTCGAGCAGCTCGCGGATCACGCGGTTGTCACCCCTTGCGAGGATTTCGGCCTCTTTAAATTTGAAATTATGTTCGCTTCTGTCTGACCGGTGTTTTTCCAGTTATGCAATGTACTCGGTCCACGTCGGGCGGCTGCTCCCCCAGCATCAACCAGGCTCCTTAGTCATTGTCAGCAACTACAGAGTCCCCTAGACCCTTGATATACGAGGACAGAAATAGTACATACTATCTCTGACAAAGGAAGAAGACTTATACAGCCATCAGACGACGAGCACGGAGTAGGCGTCCCACCATTTCTTTTCTGTAATCGGAACTCTTTCTTGGTCCACTACATCTTGTGTACCTAGGTGTTGTGAAGAAGCTGCAGAGTTTATGGGTGAGGAGTCGTCGACCGAAAGCGATCGGTCGCAGGACGCCATCCGTTCTGAAGCCAACGGAGGTTGAGGCAATAGACGAAAAGTCACGTTTACTCAACAACTACCTTCCTGCTGAAGTTCCTCAGCGAGGTAGGTGGTAAAGTGACTTTGATACACGGAAAGCAACAGAGTTTATGCAGTTTTTACTGTGCAAGGGCGTTGTTGTCCCCCTGTGAAATTCTGCCCCACAGTCATTGCAGTCCTTACCTAGTGCTCTTAGACTACTAGCCAGGCCTGACACTTCTAGTAATAATAAAGGTCACTGTAAGCACTTGCTGCAAATATTTACTGGCAATTTTTTTGCCTTATACAGTGAGGAGCACACGGTCTACAATGTGCACAACATAAGGCACACTGCAGAGGATGTTCAGCGTCAGGGGACGCTTGACACTTTTCCATCTTGCCCAGTTGAAAGTTATTTAGGCAGACTGAAGGAACTGCCAAGAAGTCGTCCAAGACCTCTCCAGCAGATAGCAAGACGCCTCAGCTATTTAGAGGCAGCCGTATACAGCAAATCCAAAATTTCATCAACACGGTTGCCTTATAGACACAATTCCAGGCCACTTCTACCAGAAGGCGAAAGTAGTGAACATCAGTGCATTATCACAGGAAACTATCGCGTTGACATAGCACCGGCCAATAGATCCATTAGCGATCAGATAGTATGCGTCAAAAACGTGCTATCTGATAAAATTGGATGCCCTTAAATAGCATCCAGCAGATTTATTAACTCGTCTGATTACTCTGATTTGCCGAAAAAATCCTCTCTTCTAAAGGTGTATAAAGCTGAGGTTAATGGTATTTCCTACTATTTGCCGTTGCCAGCCAGTTCTCCCAAGGATATATTTTAATATAAATTACTAACGCCTCTTAAGAAAACCTTGCTTCTTATTCAGTCGCTTACTGTCCTTTCGCTTTCGCGAACAATGCTCGCGAACCCTACAAACGCACAATCATGATAGGGAGTGGTTCGTGGGCACTGAAAGGAGGAGGTAGCGATAGTGACAAAATGGTTCCTGAACTTCATCTACATTCTCTTCGGTGGGTTTATAGATATTGTCATGAGAAATATACCAATTCGCAGACAACCGCAAAGAGAGCGACGGTCCCCGTTAGATGAGGCTATCTGCCTGTTGGATTGAGAAGCCACTGTGTTACCGATATGTTACGTCCGCCTGAATTTAAGAAAATCTATGTTTTCGCTGAAGATCCTACGACACACTGCCAGCAGGGGACTGGTCGACGACGGATGATAAGACCTCATACAAATGCAGCTTCTTCTGTAGAATCTCAGGATCGGGGATGAGGCGTGCTATGTGCCAGCACATGAATACTACGTCGATTAGCCTGGACTACGTAGTAGAAGCCCATGGACGCATCCTCGAGCGACTGAGGGAACTGGACGCATACGTCCTTCACCGACCCTCGGCACCCTCCGAGGTAGTCGGTCAGCTCATAAGTTCCGTGACCGATTTCCGGCAGCTTAACGATTCGTGTTTTGCACGTCTAGGCGGCAGAACACTTGATGACTTCGTCAAGAGAATATGTTGCTCCATCTTTAAGGATAAGGCTAGCGTCTACGTAAAGTCTACAGGCCGTAAATTGAAGGATAACCTCTCGGACTCAAAAGTTTATGAGGTAATGACCGATAAGTATGTATCAACAAAGTCACTTCATCATATGCAGAGGTATTCTCGTGTTGAAACGGTAATGGCAATACCACGCTCCCTCAGTTAGAGGCTGCTTTCACAAGGCCACAGCTATGGGAAGCGTGTGCTGAATGACCAGGCTGCATTCCACTCCAGTGGTCGTTGAGCAACAGGCTTCTACTTATCCCAAAAGTTTTGACAAAAATTTACTTGGAAGCCCTTGAAGGACTCCATTCAATGTATGCACATACTTTACTTCTTATAGTCCTTTTCAACGCGTTTTTCTCCATGCTTACTCGTCATATGACGCCTACATAGACGAACTGGTGAACGAGGTAGTAGGATTTGTAGGCGCGGGATTAGATAAAATGGCAAATTTAAGGGTGCAGTGCAAGAAGTGCCAGACGAAAGACTACAAGTGCCGCGTTCGTCGGTTTTTAGTGTATCTCAACAATTTGGTATAAGGGCGGTCGAAAATGTCCTCAGTTCGGTGTCCCTATCTTAAAAATGATATCTTCCCGATATTGAGAAGATGTAAATATGCTATTAATGCATACCAAAATATTTGGGCATGTACCACAAAGTTTACAAACAGGCGTAGCGCATTGAATAAAAGAATAAGAGCGCCCTGAATAATATGGATCTAACTTCTTCTGTAGAATCCTAGGAGCTTTCTATGTATGATCAGCTACGGGATATGAGGCGTTCAGTGTGTCTTATATGCGGTGCATATATGCACCGCAGAACGATGTAAAATAATTGAGTAATTCGCATGATTGTCGCGGGACTGCGAAAAATGGAAAACCACTAGGTAAAATAATTATAGGCATAATAGTATTACCAACAAAAACAAGGGAGACTGGAATGGCCATTTCCGGCCTATTAGCCGTCGTCATCCAGTCGTACTCAATCCCGAAGTGTCGAACACTCGGGGCTCGAACTCGAGACCTGTTAGTAAGAAGTCTACGCCACTAACCACTGGGCCACGGGCCTGTTGCCTTGTCGATTGCGATCGGAAATATACAATGGTGGAAGAGCGCACACCGATCGTTTCTACAGAACTCACTCGTCCCGTTGTGCCATAGGGTTCCCTCTCGAATCCAGCCAGCAGCCGCACAGTGGCGCATGATATAGGCAGAATGATATTACCGACAGCGGGCCCGTGGCCCAGTAGTTAGAGGCGTGGGCTTCTAACTAACAGGTCGCGAGTCCGAGCCTCGGGTTTGACTAGCTGACGACGGCTAATAAGCCAGAAATGGTCATTCAAGTTTCCCTTGTCTATGTTGGTAATACCAGTCTGCCTATATATCATACGCCGCTGTGCGGCTGCTGGTTGGACTCCAAAGAGAACCCTAAGGCACAGAGGGACGAGTGAGTTCCGTAGAAACGATCGGTGAGCGTCCCTCTACCAAAATAATTA